CCATCACATTGGCTCTCACGCTGATCCTTAGGTGAACTATAATGCTCTTCTGTCTACTTTCAGGCTGGCTCAGGAAGCATGCGGGGACTGTCCGTTCCTAGAAAAGCTGGCCTATTGTCCTGTGCCAGCTCCCTTTTGGAAAAGAGACTCTCTCTCCTGACTAGCTGCTTCTCCCCCCCCCCCCCCGCAGCACTGCTGTTCCCTGTTGTGTTGCGTATTTTCTGTTCAGATTAATTAAGGCTGTGTCTGCCTTGCCCAAACCCTTCCTCCCCAAGGCTGTGATGGCAAGAGGTCTCCATAGCAACAGTGTCTTCGAGGCCTGCATTCCTAATAGGAGTGACGCGCCTCCTGCACTTGCCTATCAGGGAAATTGATTCACAATTGAATCTATAAATATTGCAGTTACTTAGCTTGCCTGCTAAACAGCTCGCTACGGTTAACGGCCATCGTGGTTAATTAACGAATTGGGTGTGTCTGTGTTTTTAGGCCTGTCCTGGCTTCGCAACCCTTTGGGAAGGAATCTGCAGGAAACGCTTCTCCTCTGAGGAGACTGCAGCCTCCTTCTCTCAAAAGGAAGGTGTTCCAGTCAGATTGCCTGAGGGTGAAGAAGGGCAGCTGCCGGAGATCAGACGCCATTTCTCATTCTGGATTGTTCTCCCCTTCCTTGCGCTGTGTCCTTGCATCACCCTGATGGGGTGTCCCCTGATTTGTATCACAGAATAGGTGTTCACATGCTTACAGGGGCCTGTGTGCCAGCAGGGAAGCAGGCAGGCAATAGTGAGAACAAGTGCATCAGTTTCTGGCTGAGCAACTATTTTCGGTATCTTTGCAAAGCTTAAAAAAAAAAAATCCCCCCTGCATAGGGTGACTGGATGTCCTAACCACAAAGGAGGACAAGGCACTGCAAAATGGAGGACCTTCAAGAAAAATGGAGGGACCTGACACAGCAAAAGTTCAAAATACTCATAGGACGTTATCACACGTGGGCCAGAAAGCGATAATAAAGTGGAAATGAGGCATTCCAAAAATAAACTGAAAATACACCTTGATTCCGCAAATGGCTTTCACACGTAATTACCTTAATTGCGAAATTAAAGTAAGCGCATTTAACGTTCACACACAAGTGAGAAAAGCCTGTAAATGTACTAGAAATGAGCTTCTTGCACATGCGCAGATACAGAAATGCTCTCTGGAACCATGGGAAAAAGCAGGGAAATGCTCCCAAATGCGCATTTGCTTTTCACATTACGGTAAATGAGAAATTACCTTAATTTCGTATATGCATTTCCTCCAAACAACTGAATTTCAAAAGATCACGGATAACACCAGTTTCTGTCCACTTTCTGTCCAGTTTCTGTGCGACGTCGTGTGAAAACGCGAGGCACAAATCCAGTTTCTGTTTGGGATTTGTGTGGATTAACCAGCAGATTTGCCCCCGTGTGATAACGTCCATAGAGATGTACATGCATTCTTTTTAATCATGCTCTGAATTGAGGACATTTTGGGAATTCCTCCTAGAGGATGAAATGGAGGACATGTCCTCAAAAAAGGAGGATGTCTGGTCAGCCTGCCCCTGCACTGTAGACAGAAAGCAAAAAGAGGAGGCAAAGGCTTCATGGCTACTTACCTATTGAAATAGGAAGTCAGGGACTACAGGTGGGACATAGTCCAACTGCTGGGCAACTTGTAGCCCTCAAGATGTTATTGGACTGCAAGTCTCATAGGTCCTAGCCAGCATAGCCAGCGATGGGAGCTGCAGTCCTGCAACATCCCCAATTGCTCAACCTTATGTTAGACAAAGCTCTCTTCCAAATATAATCTGGACCAGGAATGGGCAACTATAGCTTTCCAGGTGTTTTGGGGCTGCAAATCCTGTAACTTCTCCCAATGGATATACTGGCTAGGGTGGATGAGAGCTGTTCAGGGTGGGACACAGGACGTTTTCACACGGGGCTTTAAACGGAGTCATTCCTACCTCCGTCCGGCCCCACTCCGGCTCTGTGCAGGATAAGTTCACACGACGTCGCAGCAAGCCCCGCCCCATCTTGCGCCATCCCTGCGCCATCCCTGCCGCTAGCCGGCTTTAGCCCCGTTTTGGTAATTCCTTTTTTAAAAAGGAATTACAGGGGCTGCTGCCGGAGGCAATCAGGAGTCATTCCGGCGGCTGCTGTTTTCGCCGCCGGAATGGCTCTTGATTGCTTCCAGGGGGCTTCCAGGCGGCTTTAGAGCCGCCTGTGTGAAAACGTCCACAGTCTGCCTGAAGGAAGGGAATGCAAACCCAACAGCTGGAGTGGGCAGAACTTAGGTTTGCTTGGTCTGCTTTGTTTTCTAGTGGAAACATGAGGCCCACCAAGTGAAGCTGGGTGCACAAGTTGCATCTGTAGATTGAAGGAACTCTGAGCCCAGCAATGTATTTGTTTTAAGCATCAGAGGTGAAGAGAGAGAAAACAGTCCTTCCTCAAGAGGCTCACCTCGATCTCTGGACTGGCCCTTCAAGACATAGATCCAAGTGATCAAGAACAGGAGAGATATTTGTAGTTTGGGAGGTGGGGTGCACAGGCACTGTTACCTAACAGTTATTAGAATATTGAAGTGCTCAAAAGTTCCTTAAAACATGCACACAAATGGAAAGTAGCTGTGAGAGAACCAATTGACAACAGAAGAGTGTTGGGGTGGTAATGGGGCGGGGGGAGAGAGATACTGATCCCTTTCCCCCTCCAATCAAACCCCAGTTGCAGCTCCTTCCTCCACCACTTGAGCTCCAAATGCAAGCACACAGGTCTACCATGCCTCTCAGGAAGGCAAATTGCAGATGGTTTCTCTGCAGGTGGAAGGGGGCTTCTGCTTTTCCTCCTGATCAAGTGCTGTCCCACTTGGCTCTTTCTCCCATGCTCCAGGCAGGCCTCCCACTTTGTATTTGTTTCCAGGTGTTTTCATCTGATCAAGCAATCATTTCTTGTACACCCCAGCCATGAAAACTTTACAAATGACTCCAAGAATATGGGGTACGTGAATTAATGGGTGACACAAAGCAGGGTCTGTCAATTGTGTGTAGTATATTTGCCTTTAAGTCACCTGTTGATTTATAGTGACATCATGAATTTTGTAGGGTTTTCTTAGGGAAGAGATACTCAGAGGTGGTTTTGCCATGTCCTTCCTCTGAAATATAACTTACAGCACCTGTCTAAGCACTAACCAGGGATGACCCTGCTTAGCTTCCAAAATGAGACAGGATCTAGTGTCTTTAGGATATTTTGTGAAGGTACCTTCAAAAGCCCTTGAAGCTGCTTCTCTTCATGAAGCAGAGAGTTCCCACAGGAAAGACAAGCAGGACATGGCATAGTAGTAATGGGGAGCTGATCCTGGAGTACTGTGCAAATCCTTCTTTGGTTGGAAGTTAGAAGAATGGGATTTCTCCCAAATAGATCTGATGTGTGTCTGGACCAGCGAGGCTGCATTTGTGCTCAAAATGTAATAAGTACCCTTCAAATTATGAAAACCTCAATGTGCTTTAATCTCTTAATGTTCTATGCTCCTTGGATAAATTCAAGTGGTGAAAATTTGGTTGCATTCTTGGCCTATAAACATTTGCAGAATGTGAACAGGGAAAAGTAGCACCACAAGCAGTCCTAATTTGTACAGTAGAAGGAGGAAGCAATTAAGTAGAAAATGTCAATCTGTCTACCCCATAAATGATTTCAGCCC